CTTCTTTACTTCCTCACTTCTCGCAAGAGAATCAGAATGGCATGGGATTCTGAGTCCAAGGCCAGGTTCAGTGCCAGGGTCACCACTTACTAGCTATATGGCCTTGGACATATTATTTAACGCCTTTTAGTCTATTTACTCATCTGTATAATGAGGATAATGACAATATATCCCTTTTACAGTGTTGTAAAAGTCAAATCAGACAATGAATGTGAAAAAATATTATAAATTATAAAGCACTGTAAAAATATTATTGACTATTATCTAATAGTAACTAAGTCTTGTTGATTCTATCTCAGGTATATCTGTTATAGACTGATTGTGTCCTTCCCAAATTCATATGTTGAAGCCCTAACCCCTAACATGACTGTATTTGGTGATAGGGCCTTCAAGGAGGTAATTAAAGTTAAAGGAGGTCAAAAGAGTGGGGCCCTAATCCGATAGGACTGGTGTCCTTATAAGACGAGGAAGAGACACTAGAGCCCTCTCTCTTGGCATTTGCACAGAGGAAAGGTCATGTGAGGGCACAGTGAGAAAATGGCCATCTACAAGCCAGGAAGAGGTCTCACCAGAAACCAACGCTGATTGCACCTTGATCTTGGACTTCTAGCCTCCAGGACCGTGAGAAAATAAATTTCTGTTTAAGATACCCAGTGTGTGGTATTTATTAAGGCAGCCCTTGAAGACTGATGTAATCTTTCCCCCCAGCTTTACTTCTCTTCATCCCTCCTGCTCTGATTTGGTTCTGGCCCTTATCTTCTCTGTATCATTTTTGCAGACCTCTCTGTATTCTCAAATACTGCTAAAGGAATCTTTCCAAAGAGCATCCTTAAAAACTGTCTAGGGGACCAGCCTGGTGGCGCAGCAGTTAAGTGCGCGTGCTCCACTTTGGCGGCCTGGGGTTCGCAGGTTCGGATCCCGGGCGCACACTGACACACCACTTGTCAAGCCATGCTGTGTTGGAGTCCCATATTAAGTGGAGGAAGATGGGCACGGATGTTAGCCCAGGGCCAGTCTTCCTCAGCAACAAGAGGAGGATTGGCAACTGATGTTAGCTCAGGGCTAATCTTCCTTACCAAAAAAACCCAAACAAACAAACAAACAAAAAAACTTAGTAAGAAAAACTGTCTAGGACACAGAACTATCTACAGCATAAAGGGCAAACTCCTCAGCTGACCGCCAGACTCCTCTTGAACTTGATTTGACCTGCATTTCTAGCTTTGTCTCCCATCCTCCCACTACATGCCTTAGGTTTCAGCCTCACTGAAATTCTTACTGTTGCTCAGACATTCCGTGCTCTTTCACAGTTCTCCATTTTCGCCTGTACTGTTCCTCCTTCCTGAAATGCCTTTTCCCCTGCCTGATCACCCCTCCTTCCATTACCTTCTCATCACACTGTCTCACTTTTTCCTCTGGCACATCTATTCATCCTTTTCAAGTGTCATCTACTCCCTGAAGCCTTCCTTTACAGCTCCCTCCTCAGTTCTCTCAGCAGCTCTTTGTCCACCTCTCTATTACAAGACTTAGCAACTGTTTTGTAAACATTATTTTAAGAGTCTTTCCTATTAGATTGTGAGCACCTGAAAGAAAGACATCTATTCATCATTGAACTTCCTTTGTACTTGAAACAAAGGAGGTCCTGGATACATATGTCTTAAATAAACAAACAAAAAATCCCACAGTCCAGACAAGACATATGCAAAAAAATTAAACAACAAAAGGCAGTAGAGGAACCACGAGTTATGTATCTGAGTCTCTTTCATGGCACCTCGCATGGTGTCTTGTATGTAACAGACTATCAGTAAATGTTGTTGAATTAAGTTCCAAATGAAAAGTAGACAAAATACGAGTCATGATCGTTTAAATCTCGGAGAATTCCGGGATGGGATTTAAAAGCTGGTACCCACCAATATAACACCAATGATCCTATCTGGTGCCTTCAAACATGGAACATCTCCTCTGCCCTATCTTGCATCCTATACCGCAGACTGTGAGCTCTTTTGAAGTCGGGGGGGTCTCTTAGTCATCTTTGTGTCTTGCATTCTTTATCTACTGGTATCTAGCCAGATGCTTTGCACATGACAGGCATCCAATAATTGTTTGTTGCATTTTGTTAAAGACTAAAGATCATGCTGAGCCTGGGTGGGATCTGAATAGGCCGCATAGAAGCAAGCAGAAATCCAGATCAGGGACACAGGCGAAGTGACTTCGTTTCCTATTGCTGCTCTAATGAATTACCACAAACTTAGTAGCTTAAAACAACACAGATTTATTATCTTACTGTTCTAGAGGTTAGAAGTCTGAAAATAGATCTTACAGGGATAAAATTAAAGCGTTAGCACCTTTAACTTAATCACATCTGCAAAGTCCTTTTTGCCATGTAAAATAATATATTCAGGGGTTCTGGGGATGAGGACGTGGGCTCTTTGGGGAGCCATTATTCTGTCTACCACAAGGAGCAAAGCTGAAGACATAAGAATGCACAACTAACGTTTGGAGACGGACTTTTGCAGCTGAAGCAAAGGGTTCATAATATGTTGGAGCCAGGCAACATAGGAAAAGTAGATTGAAGACGTGTTATGGTTTGAAGATGATACAGACCATTGAATACCAGATTAAGTTTTGGCTTTATCCTGTATAAAGTAAGAAAGCTTTGAAGGTGGGTAAGCAGAAACTTAACAAAGAAAGTAGTAATCTAGTGGACTCCAGAAGACCCTAGAGTGTGTAGATCTAGTGGTCAAGCAAAACCAAAAAGAAAATGTTTGGGACCAAGAGACCACACAAGGGTGAATATGCTGCTGTTTTCACGTCTCTTCCTTCTGTTAGATGTTCTTTGAGCATCCATAATAAATGACTAATGATTATTTCCCCTCTTGAATCCTCAATTTTTTGTCTAGTAGAAGTCTTCAGTCATGTTGTAACTCCTCTTCCCTAGAAGAGTCTTCCTTAGCAGTTGGGAAAGTATGTGTTTGGGGTGGGGTGAGGGGTAGGAAAAGAGGGGCTAAGATGTGAGTTGATTGATTTGTCCAACCGATTAGCAGAGGCTGAGCTTCTTGGCAGAGAGTTCAATGGTCTGGAAAGACAAGGACTGCACTTTTTGGTTGTAAACAATAGAAACCTAACTCAGACTGACTTACAAAAAAGTAGAATTTATCAGCTTTAAATAGCATCGATATGCTAATGACTTCCAAATTGATATTGCCAGCCTGGATCTCCAGTCTTGTATATATCAAATTGCCTGGTGGCTACCTCTACTTGGATGTCCAATCAGCAAACCAAACTCAACATGGCCAAAACCCTGGTCCTGATCTTCCCTTTTTGGCTCTCCCTCACCAAATCTACTCCTCCCACAGTCTTTCTCCATTTCAGTTAATGAAAACTACACCCTCCCAGTTGCTCAGGTCAAATGCTTTGAAGTTGTCTCTTATTCACCCTCCACATTCAAACTGTCAAGCAATTATATTGGCTCTACTTTCAAATCCATCAAGAATATGACCATTTCTCTTTACCTGTACAGCTACTACCCTGCTCCAAACCACCATCATCTCTCACCTGTATCATAGTAATAGCCTCCTAACTGGTCTCCCTGCCCATGCCTCTATTCAGCTTGTTTTCAATGCAAGAGCCAGAATGATCCTTTAAAACATGTTAGATCATGCCACTCCTCTGTTCAAAATCCTCCAATGGCTACCTATCCCATTTAGAGAAAAACCAAAGTCCTTAAAATAGCCTACAATGCCCTTCACAACATGGCTTCTGGTTACCTTTCCGACCTCATCTTTTATTACTCTCTCCCTTGCTCATTGCACTGCAGCCACACCAGCCTCCTTCCTGTTCCTCTAACTTATTAGACATAGTATGCACTTGCTGTTCCCTGTGTCTGGATCATTCTTCTCCCAGATATCCACATGGCTTACTCCCTCAGTTTCTTCAGATCTTTGTCTAAATGTTATCTGATTAGTGAGGCCTTCTCTGATTGTCCTATTTAAAATTTTAAACCCCCTCCCACTTTTATCCTCTTTCAGATTTATTTTTATTAACGTTGGTCACTAACATCTATACATTTTACTTAGTTTATTGTCTACCTCTTCACCTACCCAGAATGTAAATTCCAAGAGGGCAAGTTGCATGCCTTTTTTGTTCACAGATGTATCTTCAGTGCCTAAAACAGTATCTGACGTATAGTGAGCTTTTCAGTAAATATTTGTTGTATAAATGAATGAAAAGTCAAAGTGATAACGTCAAGCATGGTTGGATTCAGGCTCTCAGCATGTTCCTAGAACTCTGTCTCTATCTCGTTGCTTTGCTTTCCTCTGAATTCCCTTCATTCTCAAGCAGGCTTGAGGCGTGATGGATGATGGTATGATGGCCACTAGCAGCTTCAAATTTACGTTCTAACAATTCAGCAGCCCAAATGGAAAGAGAGTGCCTCTTTCTGATTGTTCCAGAGAAAGCCTTAGAAATGAGTCATATTCTGGGTGTGGGTCAAGTGTCAATCCTTAAAACAGTCTCTGAAGGTAAAGGAAGAAAATGCGGTGACTGGTCAGGCCTGTGTCACGGGGCCCCCAGGAATGCTGGTAAAGCTCAGCTCTGTGTGGACCGAAAACAGGAGAAGAGTGGTTCCCTCAAACGAAATCGGGTGCTATCACTTGAAGCCGGGTCTATCTCCGCGGTGTCCAAGCCCACACCTCACACCCTCAGCAACCGCGGCGATTAGATGCGTACCAGGCCCGCCAGGGCGCGCTAAGCACCAGGCACGAGGCCGCAGGGGGCGGGAGGCACTGTGATTGGCAGGCGCGGCCGTCAGTCTGGCGCAGGCGGGGGCGGGGCGGGCCGCCCGGGAGGCCTGTGCCGGGAGGCGGGGCCTGCATGAATGGGGCGCGCGGCGCGCGGGCTGCAGTCGGCGCTCGCGGGGGAAGCCGGAGTCCCGGCCGGGAGTGGGTGGGAGGAAGCGAAGTCGGGGGGGAAGGGAAAGAGCGCGGGGGGCGGGGAGGGGCAGCGCCGGGGCGGCGCGCCGAGAGCGGCGAGGCGGCGGGTGTGAGCAAGAGCTGTGGCCGCCGTGCGGGTCGCTTCGTGCCGCTGTCCGCTGCGCCGCCGCCTGTGGGACCCCGAGTAGTCCCCCGCGCTCCCGACCGGGCCACGGAGTCGGGACTAGGGGAGCCGGCGCTGAGGGAGGAGCCGGATCCGAGCGGCCGAGCCCAAGGCCCCCGGGCGTGGAGGTGGGGGGCTGAGGCCCCCGAGGGGGCCCCGCAGCGATGGGCAACCTGGAGAGCGCGGAGGGGGGCCCCGGCGAGCCGCCCTGCGTGTCGCTGCTGCCGCCGGCAGGCAAGATGCCGATGCCTGAACCCTGTGAGCTGGAAGAGAGGTTCGCCCTGGTGCTGGTGAGAGCTGAGCCCAGTCCCCTCCCCCTCCTGCCGCCCCCCCCCTCGCCCCCTGTCCCGGTCCCAGCGCCCAGGGTGGGACTTTGCCCGGGTTCTCCGGTCCGGCCCCTTTCAGTCAGGGCCCCCGACAGACCTCAGCCCCCAGTGCCTCCCCGTGAACCTCTGAGCAGCCGCTGGCTGGCCCCGACATCCCCGTCAGGGACCTCCCGACCGACGCCTCAACCGCGGGACACTTAGGAGGAGGGGTCCCCAGGCCGGGACCGCCCCAGGATCCAGCCTTCTTGTTCCTCCCTCCCCCTTCTGCTGCCCGTCCTCCCCACTTCCCCGACAGTCTCCCCGGGTCCCTAGAATTCTCATTCCTATGCCTCTGGCTGGTGCGGGGGAATTCAGAGGCTCAGGGCCGGCCCACTCCTCAGCCTATGTCAGGGTTCTCTAACTGGGGAGACCGCCTCTCGTGTTAACATGGAGGCTTTCCAGGGAGTGGGTCCCACTCCTAGCCCAGACCAGATGTTTGGGGGAGAGGTGGGGGAATGGGGAGGGGGCTGGCAGCTCTTGAAGAGGGTGGAATAAAGAGTGATGCCATTCTACAGTACTTATTTTCAGAACAGCCTGCAGGCATCCTGCAAAGTAATAGTGGATTTGCCTAAAAGGGCTGAACATGTGGATAAACCATTTCTCTAGTGTATTTTTCCAATTGAAACAATACACAAACCATCCCGCCTCCTTTTTTTCCCCCCTTTTTATGTTAAGCCCTAGGGTCTGGTTTGTGTTCTTTGCCTGTGCTTCGTTTTAGTCTTTCTCTAGGTTCCCAAATGATCTGTGTAGATGAGTTTTTAGAGCTGACTTTGGGATTCTCCTTTGGTGTGGGGATTGGACATTTATGTCAGTGGCTCTGTGGATAGAGAGGATCTGAGCTGCTATCGCTGGGAGGGAGCCAGAGAATTATGTTGGAGCTAAAGATGAAATTTTGGAGAAAGAAAGTGAACTAGATGATGTAACATTTGCTAACAGAGGTAAATCTTGGAGAAACTTGGGGAAATAGTTTCCAGTTTCTCAAAGAACTCTCTAAGAGGCAGTGTTAATGCTGCTGTTATTGTTGGGATGGCCTGAAGGGCAAACTTGGCCTTTGTCATGAGGAGGGATAAGTTGTGGACTTAGCAGCCTTACTGGATTTCATCTGCCGTGGAATAGGGAGATTAGATCTGTTGGCATCAGTGGAGCTGTCTAGAGATCCTGGCCTCTCTGATAGTGGAGAGGCTGACACGGGCCCCCTGGCGCCATAGCCAGATCAGAGAGGATCCACAGGGTTCCAAGGGGGAAGCAATGTTACTGGCACCTCTCTGCCCACCAGTTCTGTGAAGGGCCACAGGGATCTGGGCCACACATCCTGTGTCCCTCTGCATTTCCCCCAGCCTCCTCAGGGGGATGGGGTGAGTCAGTGATTACTAATGAGCTGTGGTGGTCTCTGAGGCTGAGGAGGAGAGCCTGGGACTTGGTGCCCTTAAGAACAAGAGCTCAACTGTTGGGGAAAATAGTGGGAGGGAATCTGCACTCCAGTGGGGGTGTGAAAACCCCCATCAAGCTGGCATGAGGTAGCTACAGAAATTGAAGAGAAAGAGGTGGTCTGAGGTGGTCTGGGCGGGGAGGCTACCTTAGCTAGGGGCTGGCAGGCTGCTTGTTGTGAGAGCTCAGAACCAGAGTTGATCATGTCCTCACTGGAGCTTGGTTGACAAGTTTGTTCAGTTGGCAAATTGATGGCTTAATATTCACAAAATGCATGTGGTGTCCTGATTACTAGCCGAGCACCCAGAGAGCCAGGTCAAGCTGGGACTGGACCACCCACTTGCAAGCCGTCCTTTCTGTATAAAGTTTTGATTTGTTTCCTTGTGGCTTTTGTTTTGGTCTTGTTTCTGTGTGCCTGAGCTGCTGCTGATGGGGAGTTGGAACAGGGCAGGCCAGGGCTAGTTAGCTGTCTTAGGAGAGGAGGGGATTTTACCTCAATTTTCCAACACAGGAAAATCATGCTTTCATGGGGAATCATGCTTTCATGGAGACTTGAGTTCTTCTCTGGGGGCTCTTAAAGATCCCTCTTTCCTCTGCTCCTGATTTTTTTTTTTGCGAGGAAGATCAGCCCTGAGCTAACATCCATGCCAATCCTCCTCTTTTCGCCGAGGAAGACTGGCCCTGAGCTAACATCTGTGCCCATCTTCCTCCTCTTTATGTGGGATGCCACCACAACATGGCCTGACAAGCGGTGCATTGCTACGCGTCCGGGATCTGAACCGAGGCCGCCAGCAGCAGAGCGCGCGCACTTAACCGCTACACCACGCGCCAGCCCTCCTCTGCTCCTGAAACGTGCCCTTTCTACTATCCTTTGGAACAGTACTGGCTGTTGGATGTT